CCATCTCATACCGACCTCATTACTTTCCCACACAATCACATCCCTCTTTAGGGACTGCTGGCTGCACACCTAATTGCCCCAGGAAGGGTCTGCTGAGCAGCCCTCAAGACTGTAGGGGTCCCTCAGCCTGTATGCTCAGTGTTAAATGTGCAAAGGAACCTCACATATCATCGCTCGTACACAGTCCCTTGCTCCTTCTCACCACTGAGGCAGCTGCAACATTAAAACAGCTATGACAACTAAACAATACTTCTGCAGTTTCTCAAAGCCCAGATTTTTTTTTTTAATCTCTGCAGCTGCAATTCCAGGTCTTGGCTCCACTAGTCTATTTATATTAATGCACAGGGGCAGATTTTACAACACATGACACAGTAAGAATATTTTATATGGCTTACAAGAAGCCAAGAAATAATGCAAATTTGGGTTATAAAAGTACTGTCAGCATATTGAGCCTGCTTCTTTGGCAACGCCAGTTTGCTCCCTCTCATATTTTGTTATGTTTTTTTTATAATTTCTACAGGAGATTGAGATCCCACTTGCAAGTCATTACGGATTCTAATAGACAACTACCAAGGCTTTTTGGGAAAATCCAAACTTTCTTGTACAGGAATCTGGTTTTAGCAATAGTTAAAAACTAATCCTATAACCTGTATTAGTTTTTAATCAGTGGCTATCCCACACCAGCCTTCAGGCTTTGGAACGACTTCCTGTGTCTGGCTTCATGTCACCCATGTACAGACACCTATCTCAGAAACACAGTCCTCCCTCCAAGAACAGTGGTGAGAAGGGAAGGATGGCATCACCAGAGGACAATTACACCCCTAACTTCTTGATGCCTAGTACTCATCAGATCTAACTTCAGCCACCTAAAGGCCAGGCATCTAACCTAGCTAAATCATGTAGAACTGTTGTATAACCATATTCAGGCAGGATCTTTGTATAGCTAGGATGGACATGCTGTCTTCTGAGGAGGTCTGTAGTTTCCCTGTTGACAGAGACCAACCAAATGATCAGCCACGTAATTGCTGGGATTAGGGGAAATTAATTCTGTCAGGGTGTCTTTCTGTCTCTCATGATTCATAAGACATTCTAGGACAATGACACTAAATCAGACTACAGCAATGTCTAACACAGTCAGCTGCTAGTTAGAGTAGAACTGATAGAGGAAATAACAATAAATGGCATAAAATATAGGTCACTTAGACAAAATATATGACATTAAATAGTAGAAAGCAACTAAAGATTAAGCCATTGTAATGCAATGGCTTCTTGGACTCTACCTTGAACCAGTTTTGAAGAAACAGTGACGGCAGATTGTCTTCATGACACATGAAACCACATGATACTGCTTCTTCCTCAGTGAAGGCTTTCTCCCACCACCAGCCCTCATCTTGGGAACCCAATTCCTTGGCCTAAAGGCTCATGGGCCTGTTGGGGATGCTGCAAAGTCTCTCCCTCCCACTGGTAAATGGGATTTGGAGAAAATTGATGTGTGCATAAGAGAACCCTTGAGCCACAGCCCCAGACCTGAGCAAAGGCTGCTCCATCCAATATATTCATTAAAAAGATGAGCTGTAGGTGTTTCCTCAGGGGAAGTGTCATGTCTTATATTTAATCTGATTATATACCTAAATGAGCTCTGTCCAGAGGGCATATATACAATTACATATAAATTATATCCATCTCTAAGGAGCTCTGCCTTCACTCCTTTACTACCTGTAACAGCTATCAGCCCATACCACAGTGAATTACCACTCCTTGCACCACCTCAGTTATGCCAGTGAGGTGGAAGGGCAAAGCCCTGAGTGGAAGTCAATAACAGCATCTTGTAACTTGTCTAGAGACGCACAGTGAGTTTTTCTCCTGTTATATTGTGCTTAGACCATAAGTTCATCAGGAAAAACTAACTACAACTACGCAATAAGTTAAGAGGTCTCAGCAAGCCATGACATTTTGCTATGCTTAGAAGAGACACCGCAATTCTTGTGCAGCAAGAAAGTGCTGAGATGGTTTTAATGGCATCTGCTGCCTCTTGATTGACAGAGCATAAACATTTCAAAAGTACAAGCAACAGCACTGCAGCCATACAGCACCAGACAGCATTATTTACCAACTGCGACCGAGCTACTGCAGTCAGTCACAAATTGCACATCTAGCTGAGGGTTATTCTGATTTTGTTTGAGAAATGTCCTCTTCTGGATGAAGAGGTATTAGCAGCTTCACAAACACTGTCAGCTAATCAAAAAATATTAGAGAAGCTCTCCACAGCTTAGTGGTTTTCTGTCACTTACTCTAGATGTTAGGAATGTGTGGAAATGAATAAATGTATTAATACACAGCAGCCTGTCAGGAGCCCTTGGCAAGCCGTGAGCCCTTGTACTGCATTTGCCAGTCAAATCTGCCTGATACTCCCAGCACTCCCTCACAGCAACCCATTCACATAAGAATCGACGAGGAGTCTGCTTTTAAATGGTAATATTTCACATTATGGTGCCTGACACTAATTTCTACCTAAGACACAAGTGGTATTTCATTTACACACCTGACTCGAACGTGCTGTTTATTTACCTCACATTTATGTTCAACAATTTGAGTGACACTGTGATTTTTCTTACAGAAAGCACTGCCTGTGTGTTACTGATTGCTCATATACACAGCAAGAGTGCTCACTAATTTCATCCCCATCAAGTTCTGCTTGCTGCTATCCAGGTGGATGAAACATGCCTTTCTGGACTCAGAAAGACCCTTGTTCTGGGACAGAAACAGACTACTGGATGGGAAGGGAGGCCAGGGTGGCAGCAAGAGGGTATGCAAGGGAGAAGGGAGGAAAGGGGAGAAAAGCACTGGTGGAAAAAAAGAATAATAAAGTGAAGACAAGTGAGGCCTCCTTCTGTAAACTTCTTCCTCTTTTCCTTTCTTCTAAGGTCCTCTCAGCCTTTTCCATCATCCCTTTTGATTGACAGCTTCCTGCCTTCTCCCATTCCTCTTTTCTGATTCCTTTACATTTGGCTTTTCCCTCTACTAACACACACCAAAAAATGGTCCCAGTGACAGAGCCTGTTCCCAGCAAGGCAAGAGCTGTGGGCAGTTGGGCGATATCCCCACCAGCTGGAAGCCTCTCAAACAGGGAACTGCAATGCAGTGCAGTGCTGTCTTGCCATTATACACCAGGGAAAACCACTGCAAAGATGGATGCTCCTGTGGAAATACTGGATATCAAAAGGTTTCCTTTTGAGTTTGGCATCAAGACAAAGAAAGTAATTACACGCTAGTAAATTGTTTTGCATAAGAACAAACAAATCTCTCCCATGCAAAATGGGACGCACATCTGAACGGTAACCTTTTCTGTGCTTTGGTGTCAGAAACAGAGCAGCTGGGTGGTGTGAATTTAGGAAGCATTTTTAAAGGGAAAAATGTGGTTCAGGAAAACAAAAACAACATACAGTGTATCTTCTGTTGACACTGGTATCACAAATTGATAATATGCCACTGTAGATCAAGGAAGAAGATAAATTAAATAAGAAACAATCCCCTCTTACACTTATTTCTAACTAGGCAATTATTCCACTAAGAACTTTTACTAGCAGGAATAACGTGCAGTATCTCATCTGCTCATGCTTTGTGACACTCTGTAGTACCAGAGCATGTCACAGGGCTGCAGTTCTGCCTTGAGAAGAGTATCCTTTGGTATAAAACACAGATCACATCCTGCTCCCACTTACACCTATGTGAAACCAACATGCTTGTTTTATTCCAGCAAAGGGATCAGAATACACGAAAGCCATTTTTTAAGACATAACTGATTTGAAAAAGGCCAAGATCTCACCAAAGAAATCAAAATAGCATACACTGCATGATACATGGATATGTACTTTACCTTCTGATTTGTTCCAAAAGACACATCTCACTTTGCTGCAAGCTGTATCTATGCATAAAAAAATTCAGATGAACTTACATGGTGCCACAGCCTTAAGACTGATTCATGTGTTTGATCAAGAGCTTATCAGTTTTATGACAAATTACCAGTCAGTAAAATTTAATACACAAAATTGTATACTCTGTGATCCTTGAGTAATGCTTGATATATAAAATGAGATTTTTCAGTAGCATTTTTTCAACTATTTAATACAAATTTCTTGCAGGTTTTTTTGTATTGCAATATTTTTCATTTCTTTTGATCTTCAGTGGCAATGTAATATATCTTTATGTGGAGACTACCAGGAGAATTTCTTTGGACAGGGAGTAATTTTTTTGCTGTTATTCTGCTGGTTCCTGTTAGATTCAGCTGCACATATTTAGTGATATTTAATATTTTATATCACTGTATCTTTGTAATGTTAAGTGTTCAGTAAGAACAAAACACATTTAGGCTAACCTTCCCTTTTGGTATTCCTGCACTAACTATGGGAAGAATTACAGTTAATTATCCGTGAAGCATCACATACACTTACAACATTCAGCAAGTAATAAGCCAAATTTTGAGGTTTCTCCAAAGCTCAAAATATTCCCTTTTAAGTCCCACATCACTATCTTGGTGCACAGAAATCCTGAGGGACACTTTTTTCCAATGTATAGGTGGATCCTGTTCTTTTTTGTTTCTCCACCTCAGAAAGAGGTTAGAGCTCTGGCCCTCAGCAAATATAAGTGCACCTCAGCTACTTACTTAATGTATTTTGCACTAGAAAATCTGGCAGACACATGAAAAATCAACCTTCTGCAGCAGCTAAAATGGATTGCCATCTTTCTGGCATCTTACTCAGTTTTGAAGTCAACTCCTACTGAGTTTGATCTTCCTGACTAGAAACTCAGGACAGGCTTCTGTATTTGGCCCAATAATACTAAAATATAATAAAGTAGTCAAACCTCTCTTTAAAGAAAATATCAACATCACAGTGTCTTCGATTCTCCATTGTCCAGTATTTAATTAGGTCCCTAGACAAATGAAAGAATATCAATGTTCAGAAACACCACAGACTATAAGGTCCACTTAACACTATGAGGTCCTTGAGCTTCTCCAGCACTCCTTTATGCTAGGCTCAAGGACTGGTTTTCCTTTCAAATTACCCTAGAAGAACCTGTTTGAAACAGAGCAGAATTAGCCAGCTGCATAAGAAATCCTTGGAGATGAGAGGAATGCACAGAGCTGCAGCACTCTGCCAGGCACTGAGCACTGCTCCAGTGCATAGCACACACCTGGAAAGCTGCCATCACCAGCAGATGAGCTTTAGAAAAAGGAGATGAAATAGTTTAAACATGCAGTGCCCATCCTACATCTCGTCCATCTGATGGGCAATATATGGCAGAGAAGAGCATGTCCTCACATCTCCACTGCTTGGCACTACAGCCCCAGACTCAGACCAACTTCAGCACAACTGAAGATGCTGCTCACACTGCTCCTACCCACAAGGCAGAACCTCCAGCAAGGGGCAGTGCTCACAGTATGGAGCAGTAACTTCTAAAGACCACCACTGGTGTTTGCTCCAGTGCCCACAAAACAAGGTCTCTGGGGAAGCCAGAGGGGAGGTCTTAATCACACAGGATCCTCTCCAGGCACCAGAATTGCTCAGGTTCACAGTGGCAGAAAAGGTGGCTAAACGGTGCAAAAAGCTTCTGTCCTGCCTACACCAGATACTTCATCATGGGACTTATGATTTACACCCTTTTGGACCTGATAGAGTTTGGCCATGCTGGACCCTGGGAAAATTATAGGCACAATGGGAATAATTTATTTTAACAAACTAAAAGTGTATTGTGCTTTTGGAAAGAAATTCATAAATATTATGCTTCCACGGAGTAAAAACATTATGTACCAATATATTTTCTGCCCCGACTTAGGAAACAGGTTCCCAACTCTACGATTACATAAATATGTTAGTGAGCATAGATTTATGTATACATAATTCCTTCTTTCATCTAATGTATTTGCAGGTAAAAACTTCACTAACTTGTGCAATAGTTCTTACATGTTTGTAATATATCTCTACCTGAAGAGCAGCAAATCGCAATAGCCAATTCTGTATAAGATATCAGACTGCTGCAGGGGAAAAAAACAAACAAAAAATCAAACAACAATACTAACAAAACCAAAAAAACACTGATCTCATATTCAAAACTGTTTTCCCAACTTTTTCTCCCCAAAAATGCATAACATTAGTGTGTAAAAACTAAACCACCACATGAGGCATATTTTAAAGCCTCATTAAATCAATGAAGTTTTTATGGCATCCTCAGAGCAAAGAATGTCCAAATATGGCTGAGAGTTAAGTACCCTGAGAATTGACTGCTTTTAATGAATTCACAGAAGTTTTTAAGTCCACATTTACCAAGAATCAGAAGAGAAATAAAGGGAAGAGAACAAGGTTCAACTCATTTTCCTGTACTATTCTCTAAAGATACCGGGTTATAAACATCCTCCATATCTTGGATACTGGAGGCATCTGTTGAATCTTGGTCGCTGACTACAATTCCTACTGAAGAAAGGCTAGAAATGAAAGAGTGCATCTTTTTTGCATAAATATCCCTAATGTTAAAATAGGGTAGGTCATTACACTTCTCTTTGCGATCATTGTTGCATTGGTCTGTATCAATAGCTTTTTGTTTTTGATAGTACTTAGAAAACTTATTGAAAATGATGGTGATTGGAAGTGCTACCACCAGTATCCCACAGATAATGCATAGGGTGCCGAGCAGCTTTCCAGCAAGAGTGACTGGGTAAGTGTCCCCATAACCAACAGTGGTCATGCTGATGGTTGCCCACCACCAGCAAATAGGGATGCTTTGCAGTTCTGATGAGTCATCATCTTTCTCCACTGAGTAGACAAGCACTGAAAAAATAGAAATCCCAACAGACAAAAACAAAAGCAGCAGTCCAACTTCTTGATAGCTATGTCTCAGAGTGGCACCTAAAGACCGCAGTCCTACGGAATGTCTGGCCAGCTTCAGGATGCGAAATATCCTCATTAGCCGCAGGATCTGAACCACTTTCCCCATGTTTTCAATATCTTCGCTTTCTTCTTCCTTTGTGTCCACAGCCAGTGTGGCATAAAATGGGATAATAGAGACAAAATCAATGATATTCAGTGGTTTCTTCCAGAACTTCTTTTGACTTGGAGCGGCAATGAGCCTGATCACTAGTTCACCAGTAAACCAGATGATGCACGTAATCTCCACAGCTTCCAGCACAGGGTCTTCAATCTCCCTGTCATGGGCATCCACCCTGTGAAATTCTGGCATGCTGTGAATGCACATGGCCACAATTGATGCCAGGACAACACTCAGGGATGACACGGCAATTAACTTGGCAGACAAGCAGTATGCAGGATTTTCCATTCTGACCCAGATCTTCCTTCTTATTTCACCAAAACACAGATTGTCAAACTTTTCTAGCTCTTTATCAAATATGGATGACTCTTCATTAGAGGAGTCTATACTGTCATTGCTCTTCTGATCCCAGTCTTTATCAGGACCTTCTTCTTTCCTTTCTTGGTACCGATTGCTGCAGCAGGAATCAATAAACAGCTCATTTATCCCCCAGTACTCTATTTCCTGGCAGAAGGAAAAGACACAGAGTTCTTCCATAACGTGGAGTTTGCCCGTATAGTAAAAATTCAGAACATATCGGAACAAGGAAGGATTTCTGTCAAAGTAATATTCTTTATCTGCAACACTGTAATCATCACACAGTTCTAAAATAGCCTCTTCTGAATGGCATTTGAGAAGTTTTCCGAGTCTAGTATGGGGGAATCGGAGCAAGGTGCTTTGATCCACTGACTGCTTAAAGCCACCCACATTCAAATTGATAAGTTCTGCATCTTTGCCAGGTCTGCGGAAAAATTCACCGTAAACCATTTTGGACAGACAAGTTCCACTGCTGTTGCCCAATGAGATTACATTGAACCTGAAAAGAACACAACATATTGTTAGAGCACTTAATTCAGTTTTGCTTTTGTGACACATTCTTTTTTCCATCTCCGGTTACCGTGAAATGCTGTAACAAAACAAACAAACAAACAAACAAAAGAAACTAAATGATGAATACCATTATTCAGCATTTCACAGACATAGTTTTAAATCAGTTTGATGGTTTAACACAGCTTTATCAAATTTGAAAGCAATAGGTTCTGGTTTAGGTCTCCTTTTTCCCAGGGTGAAGGAAGAATGTTGCATTCATCTGTAAATAGGTCCCTGTTCTACTATCATGCTGAAATTAACAGTCATGAAATACATGTATTTCAATTATGCAAAAAATTTTTAATTTAAAGACAGAAGACTTGTCAATCCATCAAAATATTTAGTACAAAGCTTTAGAGCAGGTGTCTCTCAATTACGTTTCAGTAGAGCTGTATTGATTTATATGATGTTGCAATTTATAATCCACTATGTTCATGCTGTTTGCTTGAATGTGAACTGCAATTACTCCTGTTGACATATCAATTAATTTACTTCTAAAGTAATCCGCAGAAAAGCATCCTGTATTCTTGAAAACATATTAAAAGTGCATTTAAAGATTTCCAATTCCTGCCTTCAGAATTTTGTCTAGTACATATACAGGTATCTGCAGTCCCATCAGTTACTTTTCTATCTGCCTTCCCACTCACCTGAAGTGTCACAACCCTCTTATGACCTTGGTCAGTTCCAGAAGCAATTCCTGTTCTGCCCCAGTATAGCTACTACCACTGTGGCAATGCTGAGAAGTTGGTGTTGAAATGTCATTTCTGGAAACCGGAGCTTTCAGAGATGGAACCTCCAGAGTGATTTTGCCTCAATAACTAACTGTGGATACCTGCAGATAGATAGAATGACATTTAAACGTTTCCATATTTTACTGTAATTTAAAACATTCAGCTGAAATTGGATTCAAAAAGGATGTTATAGTTACTAAGTTAACTCTCACAGTAGAACAGATTTCTTGCTGTCCTTCTAAAAAGCAGTTGTCTTTGAGCCAAAACTGGAAGTTCTTACACTTGTCACCAGACTATATAAACTTCTGATCACGAGGAAAGCAAATTTTTTTGATCTCTGACACTTAAACATTAATTGATGTGTACTACGCTAATTTATTTCAATTTAATATGGAAGTAAATTAATTTTAAATGTGACAAGATAGCATCAAAATTCTCCAGTCCTAAGAGATGACACCATATGGTGTCATGCTCAGCATACAGAGCTCTGGAAGAAGAAGGAAAGAGGGTACATTCAGAGTGATGGCGTTTGTCTTCTCAAGTCACTGTTACATGTGATGGAGCCCTGCTTTCCTGGGGTTGGCTGAACTCCTGCCTGCCCATGAGAAGAGGTGAATAATTCCTTGTTTTGCTTTGCTTGCATGCGTGGCTTTTGCTTTACTATTAAACTTTTTTCATCTCAACCCAAACTGAGTTTTCTCAGTTTTACCCTTCTGATCCCCTGCTCCATCCTACTGAGGGGGAATGAGAGGCTGTGTGGGGCTGAGTTGACACCTGGGGTTAAACCACAACACAGAAGTGATTTTGCACCTTAAGATGTAGTTTGATGCCAGGTATTTGCTAGCTAACAGAATGGTTATAAGACACAGTTTCTCTAGACATTTCCCAAGGCTTCAGCTTCTAGGAATGATTAAGACATAACATACATACAACTGATCTCACATAAGAAAGGCAGCAGGACTCATCTGATAAACATTACCACACCTAACTCATGATCTAGATCCAAGCCCTGTTGTGTAACACTAACTATAAATAAAAAACCCATAAATACCATGGACTGGGGTCAAAGTATATTCAAACCCCAAAAGTTCTACTTCTTGATTCATTTCAGTCAATAAAAACTCCACTTTCAGCAATTCATCAAGATGAGAACACTAGCAATGTAAGCCAGCACTATAAAAACCAGGCACAATCTCAGACCATAGAATCACAGAACTATAGAACAATTAGGGTCAGAAGGGACCTTAAAGATCATATTGTTCCAATCCTTCCTGTCATGACCAGTGACACTTTGACTACACCAGGCTGCTCAGAGCTCCATCCAACCTGGCCTTGAACACCTGCAGGGATGGGACATCCACAGCTTCTCTGTGCAACCTCTGCCAGTGTCCCACCACCCTCACAGTAAAGAATTTCTTCCTAATATCCAATCTAAATCTACACTCCTTCAGTTTAGAGCCATTCCCCTTGTCCTATCTGGAGGCACCTCTGACCATGACAACTACAAAGCAAGTTTTACTCAGAAACAACTAAAGCAAGAACTTAGTTGCTCAGCAAATCCTTAGTACAATAGACTGACTTACTGTTGAGACAGCAGTATAAAACCATATTGATTATGCAGATGATATTCATAATGGTGCCTCCATGAAATTGCTCTGTATAATAAATGCAGTGAGCAATAATTTACTGCTTCATTTTGAGGGCACTGTAGTCACAATTTGTGCAAGATACAGAAAGAAAGTGGATCTTGCTTAGAAAGGTGATGATCTGGAACCTGCCGTATTACTACTATTATGTGATTTTTTAGGTTATGAAAAGAATGTACCAGAAAGATTCATGATAGCTAGGTCAAGAGGAGCTTCAGGATCTGAAGAATGTCTTGTTTGACTTGCAGGGACCTTGATTCCTGAGCCATGGTTTGTTGCGCTAGGTACCAACAGAACAATTTGAGGCATTTAAACAAGTGAATCCAGCCACAGGATGCCTCAGCACAACATGGTCTGCCTCAGCACAACATGGTCTCTACTCAAGGGAACCCTTTACCCACTCAAACAACTTTTTCTACTCAAGGGTAAAACTACTCAGCTGGAAACAATTTTTTCCTTAAGTGCCTTGAGTGCCAAAGTCTGTCAGGAACATCCTAAGAACATAGAGCTACCACAAACTTTGCAAGTCTCAACTTGAAGAGCAACATTAACCTCTTTGATCTTCTGCAAACAAGTATTCATATATAACATAATAAACTGCTAACCATTCCAAATCACACACTTCTTACCCTGGAGAGAGTATAAGAGAGCAAGTAAACACATACCAGATGTTAGTTACTTGTTTGCTTTAATAGCTTCAGTTGTTTCAGTGAGCTACTGGATAAGGACTCATATGGAATAGAAAATGAAATGACACAGAAGAAAGATGCTTACTGGAATAATGGATATTATTTTCCAAGATAATGAAAAAAACCCAACAAATAGAAGTTCCAAATGTTAAGCTTGAGGGCTAAATAAAAGCCAGTCATAAGGAAAGCTGTGTGAAAAGGATACAAACATTAGAATAAAAAACAAAACAACAGGATCTAACTCTTCCCAGTCCAATTTGGAGATGGGCTCTAGCCAGCACTTCTGCAGTCATACACTGTTGGTGAGGCCACAGGCCCATTGTCTGCTTGGAAGGGGGACTGCAAATTTCTGGGCTTTTAGCACGCTGTTAAATCCCTAAAGCTCACAAAAGGAGAGCCACAGAGACAGAGTTTGCATATATGGTCCCTCTGAGACAGCTATGCTGCAGATGTATAACATACACCAAAGTGCTGTGGTTTTCCAACCTCTTCTGGAACAAACCGCTTAAAGATTTTTAGTGGTAATGTGGATCCCAGACTACACATTTATTTGTCAGCAAAATTTCGCTTTCTCAGTTATTTCAGTTACCTTCCACATAGTATCTACACGAAGTCCCCATTCTCTGTGAGGTTCTACATCACAAGCTTCAGAACATCTTTTTGGACATGCTGCGCATTTGAGCATGGTAGTGCCTTGGCTACTGGTAACTCCAAATTAGGGCAGTTTCAGCTTTTCTGTGATTACCCAGGCATAATAGAAAGTTTAACTGGTTTGCAGTTGGATAGGCTTTGTTGTGCTCTCCCACTTAAAATACTCAAAGACAGCACACACCTAGAGATTTTCTACCAGTCTGCTCCATGGCTATGCTGTCTATAGCCTTGCCTCCTGCTTCCTGAACAGCTGAACTTCAGAAGCCTCTGAAGACTAAATTCACATTTCAGGATGGTTTCCTTTAAGTTGAAGAAACATAAATAAAAGGGCCTAGTCCTGCTCAGATTGAAGTCACAAGGGATACAACACTAACATCAACTTGAAAGGGCATACAAATCTCAGTAACTCTACAAACTACTTCCAGAACTCAAGGAAATTTTTTCTCAAGGAATCTGATGATCTTGGTAGATTTCCATGTTAGGGTTCCCATTCAGAAAATTGAGTTCTGAGCAAATTCACCCTCAAGGGTCTTATTTTATCACCCAGCCATGCCCAGTCACCAGATCATGCAAACACCTCGGCTTTAAGTTCTGCTAATTTCCTGACAGTTAACAGCTTCTCCAAATTTCCCTGGCTACACATATGCAGCTTTAGACACCTACTTTTAAAAAGTTGTGGATATGACCCTAACAAAATTCAGCTCAGGATCAACATTTCACTGATTTTTTAAGTGTTTGAATTTCTCCACTCATCACAGGACAAGTACGTGTCTAAAGCACTGCCTAGGAGTACTGTCTATGCTTTCTGACTCACTGAGCAGAGAAAAACATCTAAATGCATATATAATTTACTTGATCAATCACAATTAGGGATTTGGACTGAAATCCAGTTAGTATGACTTAAGCTGTTCTCTGTCAGCAGGGCAGTAATAACTGCTTTAGCATACATAATTAAACCTGAAAAAATGTAAGATAATATTACTTGGCACAGCCTCTTTCATTGTGACATAAGATGTAACATTCAACTCTCCTTTGTAATATTTGAGACAGTTAACTATAAAGGCATTCACAGCCTGTGGAGGCAGAGATTAACTTTAAAAAGTCATCTAGCACGAACAGCAAGCCCATCTGAAGAAACTGCTATGTGGTTATGGACGTTCTGTGAGGTAAAGAGGATAAATTCATCAGCTAAATTATTCGATCAGTTGTAATTTATTTTTTATATTCCATTGGCAGTAATATCCTTTATCCAGAATACTGCATTAAAATGTCATGAAAATAATAGAATTATGCAATTACATTTCTTTTAAAATGGATTCAGTAGAACCTCCCAGAAGACCTTAGGTAAATAAAGTTTGAATTGAAATACCCAGGGCCAAATTTTGTTCTGATGTTACTTCCAAGGAAGCCTACTTGGCTATGTTCACCCCTGTACAATTCTACTGATGTCACCAGGCTGTTTTAGAAACTGAACTTATGCCAAATGTTTATGCATCTTTTCAAAAAAATGAAACCAGAAAGAAATTATAATAATTTGGAAACAACAGTAGCTGCTGACAATAAAAGGTAAAATTATTTAAATATCCATACCTGTGGAAAAATAGTCTTCAAATATAGTTTTGGGTTTGTTTTTGTTTTTTTTTTTAAATCACCTCCTCCAAAAGACTAATAAGGAAAAAATGAAGCTATTCTAACTCAGAGTAAAAGAACACAAGCAAGAAGAGTAATAAGCATCTCTAGTCCATGGTTCATACCACCTATCTTAGGCACAGGTTTTCAGGGGGGGTGAATCACCAGAGGTGGGGTCCACCTCTGTACTGACTAGATAAGCAGCCTATACGACTAGTGCCATAAGGTGTATAACTTCCATGTGACTAACAGGAGGTAAAATGGATCCTGCCAAAGTGAAATTCTGCTGATTTCCACTATGAGGATGCTGGTGAGGACAGAGTATATGCAAAGGGTTGGTATGAAAAAGGGGCACGGGGAAAACACTCTGGCTGTAGCATCAACATGAGAGAAGCTTCTTTGGGAATGCAGTCTGTGATCTGAATTGCTTTCTCATATACATAAAGAACAAGGAGCAAGATCTAATATCATCAGAATGTCACCTTG